CAGACATTAAGAACTGCTGTATTACGGGTAGGGTAATTATTGATAGCAGTTCATTCTGATCAATGTGAATGGTGGGTGCGTGACTTCTTCGCTCCTGACCAACGACTCGTTGAATTTCAATCAAGATTCAATTTCCAGGTATAAAGTCAATTTTCTAATTTAAAATTTAATTTTCTAATTCTACTTCGCCATTGGTCTACGTTGCTACGAAGTCAAGTGAGATTTGAAAGCAATGGCCATTAGCATGAAACTATGCAAATTCTCAGTATACGACCAACACGTCTACCTAGGGGGATTTTCCTGTCTCATAGTTGTTGTAGCCTACCATCCTCATTGGTCAGGGACAGAGAATGATCTAATGCGCGACTACTTGTTTCAATCACTTGCAATCGCTGAATCAAAGTACCCTAATTGCGCTTTCATTAGTTTCACAGAAGACTTCAAACTGCAGTGCAATTTACCTTGTATTGTGATACATTTTTATAGTTAAAAGTTTGTTATTGTCAATTTGTAAGCGTTTATACTGTTCAGGCGTTGCAATTTTGAAACATATATTAAACACGCTCATAGCTGGTCATATTTCGTATGATTTTGAAATTTATTGTAATGTTTGGACCCAAAATGGTATTGTCTTCCTTTTGATATTAATATATTTTTTAATCAGTTCCGTTCATTATTAATACGTAAAAATAGTCAGTATTGCATGAACGGCATTTAAATTGCTTTTAGTTAAAATGTTTTGTTCTAGTGAAATGTATCACATACTAATGTACCAAACCGACATCGCCGGTGTAAATTCTGTTTTATTTACTCCAAAAGTAATTTAAACTGCCAATCTTTTAAAAGTTTGAATTCTCGACCTACACTATAAACTACAACAGTAATAAAGTATATTTACAGCTATTATTCACGCAACATCTCGCACACGAATTTCAGAGCATATGATTGGTTGTATTGGAAATAAATTATCATGGTAATTAGTGAGCAGTGATCAAATTTCCTTGAAATTGTTGCAGGCTCTCATTTACCCATTGCACCTGCCACGCAATCTAATAATGACCAGGCTCAGCTTTTAGCTGTCAAATGACTGTCACCTTTTATCGAATAATTACGAAAAAATAGCCATGTGTGATCTTGTTTAAAGTAATCGGTTGAATTCATATTTTTCCACATATGTGATTTAAAGTTCGTCCAAATTTCGAACATTTGCCCAAATGTTTGTTGCGCATTTGGGAAACGTATGCTATTGTGAGATCAATCTGCAAGCATGCAGTGTTGTAAAATGTTGTAGGCGCTCAATATGGATCAGGGCCGTAAGAAGGCGCGATAATTGGGCGGGGGTGGGTGAATATTCAAATATTCGTGTTCTGCGCTACGGATTTCGAAGTAAAATTTCGATTTCGGTCCTGATGTCGATGTAAAATTGCGAGTAAAATTCATCAAAACTTGATGCTTACACATACATTGCGCCATATATTTACTCAAGGACAAGGGACTTCAATTTCAATCCCAAATGATATCGAATCATATTTAAAATCGAATCGTATTTGGCTATTTTTTATCACAATGATACAAGAAAGACAGCATTAGACAGCTAAAAGCTAAGTCTGCTCTTCATTGGTGTTAAAAAATAAATCGATAAACGTAATATGTAATTCATAATAACATGCCAATTTTGGAAAACCTATTTTTTTATACACCCTGTATGAGAACATACTGTAGTCTATCAAGGTAAGATATCTGGAAACTAAATATTAGTCATTGTTTGATGACTTTGAATCTTTGATGCTTTTGTCTGAGTTTTATATCGATTAATTTGTGTATATTCACGGTGATTAAGCTCATTGTATTTTTGATGAAATGTGCAGCCACGATGAATAATATTTAATGAAGTTGAGACTAAGGATTTGTGCACGGTGAGGTGCAGTTCAACATCAGACAAAGGCCTTCAATTTTGTAGCTTTGAAGCTTGCCGGGTTTCCAGATCATCATGTCTTGACAGACTATGATCAGAACAAAGTTCAGTACATAATATTATGTTGAGTTAATTCAATCCTGTACAGTATATTTCGATTTAAACTTGATTTCAATAGATGATTCCTCCTATCGACTAATTTTTTCATCCAGACCAGAAGGGCGTAATCTATTATTTTTGCTCAAAATAGCATCCTAAAATTAGTAAAATTGCAAAGTTTGGTTCCGAAATTTTGTAAAATACGGAAAATATAGCCCTGTGAAATTAGCAAATTTTGAGTATTCTAGTCTTACGCACGGAAAACTTGAGCAGAAAATGGTGTATTTTTTCCGCGCGTAATACTAAAACACTTAAATTTTGCTAATTTCACAGGCGGATAATTTTTCGTATTTACAACATTTCGCAACCGAACTTTGCAGTTTTACAAATTTTAGGATGTTCTTTTAAAAGCTTTATAATGATATATTTCGTGTTTCTTGTCTATTTTAAAAATTAGTTGATAGCTGAAATCATATTCCATTAAATAATTTGATTTAAACTTTGTTTCCAACTCGATTGCAGTATGTTTTGAACTAACTGTATGAACTAGAATAATTTAGATAAGTGTGCTTATCTCGATATAATAAACTATTAGATCATATATTACTGGGAGTAAATGGTTAAAAATTTTCAAAATGATGAATGAACGCAGCCCCTTCAGTTTTAATTAACTCCGTACACGCACTTTCGACACCCTTCGTCATCGAAGGGGGACCACAGCTGAACACGCCGATTTTTGAAGCCTGAACAAGAAATACATATCGTACATAAACATTATCGTCGGTGTTTTAAAGCCTCGTGCATTCGGTTTACTTCATTTCAAATGCAGCTTTAAAGCTTTTGATATATCCCCTGGCGTAGGAACCAGAAGGGGCTGCCTCGTCCCCAGGCTCCAACTCAGACGCGCGCGTTCCGACCATAGAAATAATAGATATAAAATGCGTACTTGATCACGAATCATGTGTCCACTTTTTCTCATGCGTGCCCATATAAATCCGCCATGTTTGAATTTGACTAGGAGTGCAAACTACGAAGTATAAACAAAGCTAAAACTACGTTTTCATCGTCAAAACGTTTATCTTGTTGTCTAATTTGTAGTTTGGGGAATAGATTTTGAGTTTTTTGAAGGCACGTTTGTGCCTTCAAATCGTGCAGCCTTGTAAACAACGTATATTCGCCGGTTTCTCGAAATTTACTCATAAAACATTTTTGCATGCTTTGAACGACACTACTGTCACAGTTTTGCTAATATCTTATAAGATAACAAAACGATAGTTCTTTCTTCGTCGGGTTTCGTTTTTCTTTGATGTAAACTAAGGTTTTTTATTTTTTTGAAACAAAAATATTTAGTTGTCGATAGACTGTAAATTGTCTAAATAATCGTCGAAAACTATGGTTTCAAAAGCGTTGCCTCGAGCTCAAGCAACACAGAAAAATATGAAAAGTAATTGTGTAAGTTTAAAAAGATTACTGAACTTCATTTATATTATATTATTATATTATAAAAAAGTTGAAATATTTATAGAACATACCTATTGAGTTTGAGTTTGTCTTGATCTTTCGGGTTTTGTTTTGGCTTGCACAACAACATTCTGTTCAGAACTGTTGCTTTTCGTAAAAAAACCCACTAGAATGGGTTTTTAGACACTTTTTAACTTTTTTTTCCATTTTAAGTCTCGACATAAAATTTTTTGGCAAACATTGCATTTGAAAAAACAATTTGCACTCTCTGCAACCGCGCGAAATTCCCAGTGAAATTCCCTGCCTCCTGGTAGTCTGGGAACCAAAATGCCTTTATAAATCCGCCATTTTGTGGAGACAAATTTTTCACTGAGAAAAGATAGGAGTACGCATTCTATATCTATTATTTCTATGGTTCCGACGCAAGCAGTGAAAGGCACAGCAAATCAAAGCGCCTGGGGACGAGGCTGAGGGGGTGAGTGCCAGATTAACCTTTCCAGGGCCGGGGGCAAAACTATTTTAAGCGCCGGTTACAAATGCGAATTCGTCCTTGGCTGTGAAAAAGTCCGATTTCTCCGGCTTTAATTCTTGATTGAGTCGGTTCTCTTTCATGTACTGAGGTGATTTTTTTTTAATAATCACCTTGACTATTAATTAGCTGAAAAGATGAAGGAAACTCAGAAAATCGTCGTTTAAAGGCAGACGAAATTAACAAAACTTTGTTGGAAAACCTCCTCAATCAAGAATTGAATAGGATAAACACCTCGAATGTCGGGGATTTATGTCAGATAATGCCCTCGGACGCTGCGCGTCCTCGAGTCATTATTTGACACAAATCCCTCCCTCTCGATTTTTATCCTGTTCAGATCGGACAAATAAAACTCACATTGCAGTTTCTCCGCTTAGAAAATGTTTCAGTTATAGTTTTGTTTAAGTGACCGTATGCCGTATGGTTGGAATATTTTATATTAAAATTGCACGCGTGGGTGAAGATATTCCAAAATAACATTGCATATATTTGTTCCTGTAAACACTGAGGTAAGTGAGGTTGCTTTAACCAACGAGTTTAATTATTCGATGATCACATTATATAAACTTTTGAAGGAAAACTATAAATTATTTTTATTCGTTTTTGTTTTCTTTTGTTTTGTTTTTGGGCCGGTAGAAATCTAGGGCCGGGAGAAATCTAGGGCCGGGAGAAAATACCCGTTTGCCCCTTAGATAATCCGGCACTGCAATTATGAGGGGCTGAGGGAGGAGCTTGCTCCCGCTATAATTTTGAAGAGTAGTATATTAACTAAGAAAGCCGTAGATGATGTAACTACAGAACTACTACTCAGAAATACAAAATGGAGCGTTTCGAGCGAAGGCCATTCGTCTTGAAGTTAGTAGTTTACTTGGCTACTAAATTTTTTAGTCAAAATGATTTTTATGACTTTCACAAAGTTTCTACAGTTTTTCGTTTGTAGCATTCACTTCATATTCGAGAGTAATGATACATTTTTGATAACAATATTAAGCTTACCCACGGATGGGTGGTTGTCGATAGAGACTCCAAGAATGGCATAAAATCGGGTCGGCCAAAGTGAGTTGTAGATAGCAGTCCGGTTAACAAAGACTTGCCCAACATCTTTTGAAAATGGCGTTCACAAATATACTGGAGAAGAAATAATAAAGAAAGGAATAATAATGTATAAAATTTGAGCAATTTACTTGTGCATTTGCAAGTGAAATTCCTTACCAACATTGTCGTCCTCAAATCAAACTCACGATAAAACTGAGTGACAAAAATATGAACGCTGGCAAGATCATTAGAATCTTTTTCTTCGACCTCTCGTATAATATCTGTCAACCATTCAAAGTGCTTTTGACTTCTTGTAACCCACAAGAAATACACCTAAACGTGAAGTTTAAAATCAAAGTAATTAGCGTATTTCCAGGCGAAATTGTTCACACTTTGTTTTAAAACCAGTCGAAAAACCTGCTATTAGGAAATAGCGGGATATGTCCTATCAACACAGAGACGAAACTTCGGTTCTGTCTGACTGTGTAAAGGCCCATTTCCACTAAGGAAAATTTTCCGCGGAAAGCGAAAATTTTGCAAAATGTGATTGGTCGACACAACTTTTCCGTTGTTGTTGAAAATTTCGAACTTTTAACAATAATATTTTCGGAAATTTTCTTTCCGTGGAAATTTTTCTTGTTAAATGAGTGGAAATGGGCCTTAACGGAAAGCACCCCAGGCATATTTGTGAATTCTGATACCTTCTTACAAGAGAATGTCGACTTCAATGTTCCTTTGTGAGCAATATCTTTCAAAATTGAAGCAAATGGAGTGACTCCAATCCCTCTTCCTACCAAAACTGACACTTCGTAACGATACCAATCTTAATGTCCTTCACCAAATGGCCCATCTTCGTACAACTAATACAATTATACAGCAATAGTGACAGAAATACATCAGTAACTGCATGGTGATTCCTACATTATGTAAGTAGTCAGGTGTGTGGAAATCATCCTTACTTAATCCGAGAATTAGCTGAATTGGGAAGGACGTAAGCTATCCTAATCTATATAGTCTAATGCTTACTAAGGGCACCCCTGTCAGCCATTTTATGACTCAGGTCTCATCACGGAGTACAGTTACAGCCGTGAAATGGCCAGTTAGTATGTCATCCTATACAACTCTGTGAACATTTCCTCCTGTGGGACGAAACTTGAGCACCCAGCGAAAACTCATGATTTTTTGTAGAGCGTTGACTGACTCCTTTTACATAAGTGTCATGTGTCCGCAGTGTAAATCGAACCCACATGATTTCAGAGCTGAATTGAAAGGCGCTTGCTATGACGATTGCGCCACCGAAACCCATCATGGCTGGGGCAGTTAGCCGTCACTTCTTCTGGATATGACCATGTTTTTACATTTCAAAAACCCGGAATGCAGCAAGCTGGCTAAAAATACGAGGCTTTCTAATGACATTGCATTTTTTAAGGATACTTCAGTGGTGGCGCAAAACTAACACAGAGCCCATTTTTCTTGCCCTTCCCCCAGGTTAGTCCGCGAGCACCGAAGGTATGAGCCGAGTACCGCAGCCACGAGTCAACTAGGTGGTCTGGGGGCATGTCCCCCAGCAAATTTTAAAACTTTTATTATTTTTAACAAGTTGTGAGAATGTCGTTCCATCAACTTGTCAAAACGACTTTTCGCAACGGGCTTGCAGCAAGCTTGTTAAGACGTTCTGACAATGCTGTTCCAACAACTTGTCAAAAAGACGTCTCGCAACAGGCTTGCATCAAGCTTGCTAAAGAAGTTGTGACAATGCCGTTCCATCAACTTGTCAACAAGACTTTTCGCAAACAGGCTTGTAGCAAGCTTGTTAACAAGTTGTGAAAAATCCGTTCCATCAACTTGTCAACAAGATTTTTCGCAACAGGCTTGTAGCAAGCTTGTTAGCAAGGTGTGAGAATGACGTTCCAGCAACTTGTCAACAAGACCTTTCGCAACAGGCTTGTAGCATGCTTGTTAACAAGTTGTGACAATTCCGTTCCATCAACTTGTCAACAAGATTTTTCGCAACAGGCTTGTAACAAGCTTGTTAACAAGTTGTGACAGTGCTGTTCCATCAACCTGTCCAAAACAATATTCGCAACAGGCTTGTAGCAAGCTTGTTAACAAGTTGTGACAGTGCTGTTCCATCAACCTGTCCAAAAGAATATTCGCAACAGGCTTGTAGCAAGCTTGTTAACAAGTTGTGACAATTTCGTACCATCAACTTGTCTACTTTACTAACGCGCGCCATCTTGAATTGAATTGAACTGCATCTAGCTATGTTGCTAGTGGCAACACAAAATATGCAACACGAAAGCGAGGCTAAAACAATGCTGTGAAAAATAAGACGCGAACAAAAACGCGAACCATTTATACGATACACTTGCGTCTCGCGTCTTATCTAAGTCGCGTCTTATGCAAGTCGCGACTTATTTTGTCTCGTATAAATGACTCTATTATGATCAACAAGATCGAACCCCTTTTTAAATTCTGCAAATAACAATCTAGCGGAGCAGGAAGTGTTCTCAAGGGCAGATAAAATGGTGTGCAGGAGGTATCTTAGGGTGTGAGTCGTAGATTTCCCTGGTAACGCAAACTGCTTCGTGTCCAATTTACTCTCAATTTGGGCAAATAATTTTGTCAAGGTGAACTCCTCCATAAACTTAGAAATTTGGGACGTTAATGATATGGGTCTTAGATCGTCCTCCACGCTTTGAGGTAGTGAGACTTTAGAGATTGGAACTACAATAGACCGTTTGAGGTTCATCGGAAACACGCTATGATAGACGAATTGTAAATGTACGTATATGACATGGCATATTACTCCTCTATGCTTTGAGAAACTAATCCAACATGTTAAATTTAGTCAACTTAACGCTTATAATTAATTGTTATAATTAGTCGTTCACATTCTTGAGAAGCTTTAGACTATTGTCATTGTGTTCACAACAATAGACAAGACAATGTTTTTATTATCGTTTGCGTTTGCTGATATAATTGCTGAATATTAATGATATCTATATATTATTTGCTACGAATACAGTAAAAAAATGCTTGTATCTTGCTTCTAAAGTCAAAAATGAAAAATCAATCGATGCGGAATATTGCTTAGAAAAATTGTGTCAAATTTCATTCCGATCAGACAAGTAAAGCCTGGTTCACATTGATCGGCGATGTTCTACGATCCATTGTCTGTGAGCAACAAAGAAGAAAATGCACAAAACATTTTATGCGTCAATGACCACAGACAATGGGTATCGCCGATGTTTACGATCAATGTGAACCAGGCTTAATGACAAAGCCTTAGGGTTTTTTCAAAAAGCGTTGCCCCCTAACAACAACAACAACAACAACAACAACAGCAACAACAACAACAACAACAACAACAACAACAACAACAACAACAACAACAACAACAACAACAACAACAAGATTAGCAGCGATTGGGGACCAGTTCCTGGTCCAAAAATGGTGTTTTGTCAAAGTAACAAAATACCTAAATCCACAAAGACTATAAATATTTTTGTAAATATAATTTCCATGAATTGATGAAAAATTTAAAATTAATTCAAACTGGGAAATTTTGACCAATTAGATAAATACATTTACCCTTACTCAATTCTCACAACTTAGTTCTAAAGTTTCTATGAATAGGAAATAAATAGCTATTAAATATCTAATTATATTGCTATTTATTAGCTATTTTAACAATAGCTCTAACAATAAAAGTAAACATAGTTTTAAAATAGCTATTTTATAGCCATTTTGAACAAAGTTCGCCACAACTTTCTATGAATAGCAATTAAATAGCTATTTAAGATCTATTTATTTTGCTATTTAATAACTATTTTAAGAATGGCTCTAAAAATAAAAGCAGACATAGTTTAAAAATAGCTATTTTATAGCTATTTTGAACAAAGTTTGCCACAACTTTCTATTAATAGCAATTAAATAGCTATTTACGATGTATTTACTTTCCTATTTAATGACTAGTTTGACAATAGCTCTAAAAATAAAAGCAAACATAGTTTAAAAATAGCTATTTTATAGCTATTTTAACTGACTCGTTTGTCATCAATAGGAAGTAAATAGCCATTTAAAAGCTATTTTACAGTGAGATGCCATCAATTACTCTTCAAATAGGATTTGAATACCTATTTCAAAGCTATTTTGTTGAAAAATATAAATAACCTATATTTTAACTAGAGTGTATATGGTCATATACTATTTTATGAAATTTGATAAATAGTAATAAAATAGTCATACTTTTTTAAAAAGACGGAAAAAATAGGGCTAAATAGAGGAAAAATAGGGCTAAAATAGGTTATAAATATGTCGGATTCTACAAGGGTTCATACATAGGGGTGTGTGCCGGTTTAGTGTCTGAGCTAAAGTATCATTATAGCATTTCACAAATTCATCAAGCGTATCAGAACGGTTTACACAAAGATCTGATAACAATAATTCTTCTCGAAGTCTTGTTTTATCGATTGCTTTAATTTTCCTAATATGATACTTGCTTCTCTATTGGTGGTATTCTTCCTAATGTGAGGTCGCATATGACTGTGATATGATCCGAAAATAAATAATCTGTTAAAAAACGAGTGGGAAGTAAAGTATCAGAATTCCGCGTAATTATCAGATCAAGGATGTGTCCAGATGTATGAGTAGGCTTGTCAACATGTTGATCAAGGCCCATAGAGGACAACAGATCAAGAAATCGAATAGCGTTAGGATCACGTGGCGCGGATATCGACATGGATATTAAAATCTCGAACGGTTAACAAAGGTGAACCAAGTCTCACTGATAGCAACTAAGTCATTGAACCAATTAACAAAGACAGTTAAAAAGTGACTCGGACTCGAATTTGACTCCGTTAATCGACAAACTCCGAAATTAAATAAAATTCGCAGTCGAAAGGGTTAGGGTACGTTATGAATGGGGTTAGGCTACTGGATTAGAGTACGTACTAAATCATTGAACTACAAGGACCATGACTAAACAGTGCTTTGAACATTTGACTCGGCTCGGATTTGACTCAGATTTGACTCGGTTAACATACAAAATCCTTTCTGGGCTTGTAAGTTTCAAAATTTTCTTGGGGGCATGCCCCAATTCCCTCTCTCCCATGCTCTCCCAATCGTAAAATTGCTGTGTGTTCCAGAGTAGATAGTAACAATTTCCGACAAATATAACACCAGAGAGCTGTGGATTGAGAAGGGTTTGCAATAACACCAGAAAGATTACGATCTTGAATCTTCTTCATTCTGGTTTAATATTTGCAATCATGGGGAAAAACTATTTCTGGCCATACGGCAGCATTTTGCCCTTGCGATAGTAACTTCTA